CCGGACAACTCACGACCCACGGATTTGATCGTCCGACCGCTGGCATGGTAAGCGTACCACTTGTCGCTACACCATTTTCGCCGCTCTCGGTTATACCCAAATATTATAATGAAATTTCCTCACTGTTGCCAAGCGGTTTTGTGACAACTAACGACTTTTGCAGTTCTAGATCTAAGTTCTTTCTCTTCCATGCTTAGGCGGTTACGTCAATTCGAGTACTACCTCAGTAAGCTCTAGGTGAGAAATGAGTGAAGGAAAGCAAAGGGAGTAGTAGCTTGGGTCTTCGATTTCGACGGTGAAAATATAAAAAAATGTGAGTAGTAGAGAGCGCCCAAGCAGGTATCCCAAAGAAGCGCGGTCTGAAAGGAACAAATTACTTATTATTTTGAATGAAAAATTGCTCAACAAAGCCCAGCTTCGGCCCAGTCTTTCGTTAGATTTCTCTTCTCTGGTTTCAGTCAGAACGCCTAACGAGCATGGCAGCACGCTTCGCAGGACCCTACGCTAGTTGTCCATATCAGTGATTTTGCTATAGGATTTCATTTCTATCCTCTTTCTTTCGTAGAGCTGACACAGGTTGACCGTACATGGTGATTTTGTTTGATGTAATCTTCGAGGTTATAGCTAATCCTTTTGGAGAACTTCTGCTATTTATCCTGGTGCACTCTTATTTCTATTCGTAGTGAGAATTTGGAGCACCAAGCTTTGGTTTTCTTTGGTAGAGCCATCAAGCGCGTATAAAAGAAAGTCTGGCTTTCACTCGCGGAGGGAAAGGGAGCAACTCAAACCGTAACTCTAATAGAATTACCATACACCGGACAAGTGCTACCATCGTTGCTGGATGGATAAAAAAATTCAACTGTAAGGAGACTTCCGAGGGGTGTCCTATGATTTTGCAACGACTACAAAACTAAAAAAAAAAATTGTCTAAAAATACGGAAAACTATTCGGATGATCTGGCTACTTGTTTGTATAGGTTTTTTATAGAGGCGGTTCTGATTCTACCAGTTGCGATAGACGGCTTTTTCTAGAAGCCGAGATATTCATATTTTTGGGGGTGTCCTATGATTTTGCAACGCACTGTATTAGGTTGCTAGGGAAGTAAAGCGTGTTCTGAGATGCCGTGCATTTTAAGATATTTTAACACAGAAATTTCGTTTGAGAATTGGAGCCTTGCACATCATTGGCAAGCCTATTAGGTCCTCTTTCCTGTATGGCATGAGTCGAACTGTAAACTTTGTACTTTTGCCTTTCTGTGCAAGAGATGAGAAAAATAAACAAGGAAGCAGGAAGGTGATAGTCCCATAAGTTGAGAGAGTCTCAATTCAGGATGGTATATGGGGTGCTCGAATACCAGTCGCTATAAAAACCCTTCACTCAACAAACATGACCACTGACGACCGGATTCAGTTCTTACAAGAAGCGAATATTATGAGGGAATTCAAGCACGTCAGTTTCTTTATTCACTTCCAATTGGCTGCTGTTTGATACGTCTGATGTTAACGTGGGCTTCATAAGAAAATTGTAAATGAGGACTCTTGGCTGTCAGATGCTGTCAAGTAAGAGCAAATATGTGAAACTCAAAAAGTGACGCAACATCAGTGCGAACTCAACTAAGCAGCCGAAATACCATCTCATATCAGTGTTGTGACGGAGGGGGGAGAAGGGGGAGGAAGGGGCTGAAGGGACACACAGACCGCAAAAAGAATTGCAGTACTCACAAGTTTCGTTGTATCAGTGTTGTGAAAGATTAAAGGCACGGTTCGAGATCGAGTTGGGGTATTTTTGCGTTCCAAAATGAATGCGAAAGATGCGGCTTTTAACACCACTGAAAAAAATGGGAAAACTTCCCTGTGACATGTTAGCTTGAGAAGAGGATCCGTGCGAGTTCTTCCTGCCAGCTTGCTGACTCCGTTGCTGGCACTAGTTGACATCCTACCCAGGACTGCACGTCCAATGGCAGCCACGCTCCATCTCTGGCGATGGGTTTTTATAGCTTATGCCAGATGGGCATAGCCCCAAATACTTGGGTGAGGCGTCATTGCACAGTTTCGAGTCACGTACATCTGTTTCATGCTCCCAGACCCAGCCACAGCAGTGAAGGACGGGCTTCCATTGGCCGCCTGTTTCCGATTCGTGCCTTGGTGAATAAAGCATTTCACGTTGATCAAGCCCTTTTTGGGAAAGCGACCCATCCAAAATCGGAATGACATTTTGAATGTGATATGGCTATACAATGACTTGCATGAGTCAGCCAATGTACAGGTTAATGTTTTTATCTTCTCAAACTCAGGCGATGTACAATTCAGTGTATTTATTTTCTCTAACAAGCCTACTACCGATGATCTACCCTTTCGAGAATGAGTACTCGAGTTGTCTGTACGGCTATGATACAGCATTTGATCCTGAGACCATGCCCGTGGTAAACAGCCTCACTTGCCGCGACACCACTGCTGTCCTCCGTAAAGTTGTGAAGGTTCTGGCATCTTTCTCTATGTTTTCTGTAGGATACGTGCTCCCCCACATTTCCACCTCTGAATTGATGTAAGCATAGAGCAATATGTACGGGGGAGGGATCGAAAACCTAGTGTACATTACTTGTCGGTTGACTTTTCATAGGGTGCTGTTTTCGCATTTGTCAGGAGCCAGTTCTACGCGGAAAGGACGAAATCAATTTGTTTTACCGCTATGGAAGGTGATGAGATGTTTCTGATATTTCGCATTACAGTAGCGAGGATCTGCATATTCAGAATTCATTCGCCGTCAGTCTTACGTTACCCGAATCCAGAAACTCCCGTGACAGTTGTAACCGTCTTTCGTAGCGCCAACGTGCCATTGAGGTCACCTGCGACAATTATAGCTTCTTGTGACGGAACCTCAGCTGTCTTCTCATCAAGCAGATTGCCAGAACTTGACTTACTCGGGGTATGCAGTTTGTGGCGTGTACGCAGCGAAAAGGGATTAGATAGGGACGAAGGTTTTAGAACACTTAGTTCATACTGTTCTGTTCTGTTCTGGATATTTCCCACATGCCCTAGATCTTTCGCGTATGAGAGATAAAATCAGTGAACTGTGCTGCACACGATGCACTATCAGCTTTTCCTACAATAGCGTTTGCATTGTCGAAAATCAGATTCAGAGACTATCAAAGCGCTCAATCTGTACTCGTCTGGAGAAATAGACTCACGGACACGCTGAATCAGTTCCGTAATAAATAAGACACGATCTATCATGCAGCGGTACGAAGATGGATCGAACCCTCTGCAGCGAGAACTTCTATCTGTCCAACACAGTGCACGGCTACTTTCGATCTTGACGCCATTCGCGTCTATTTGAAGATCATTCGAGGCAATTGTCACATTATCCAGCAGAACGTCTCTAGTGCTCCCGCACGCACGTCCTTGAAACCGCTCGGGAATCAGGCAGACTCGGGAATGTAGTCAATGGGTACCGCACGATTTGATCATCGCGCCATTTGCCTTTCGTCACACAACATCGACAGTTGGCTGCACATGTGGCCACTGGCGAAAGTAAGTGGACCTGCTGCGTTTACCATACGTAAAGGTAGTAGTGGCTCGGAGTAGGCGAGGAGCTTCATCCTACTTGACGTTTATGGGAGAACAGCAATGCTGTCAAGTTTTTGGAATTGAGACGGCATCATCCACGGATGATGTCCGCTTGCAGGATAAACGATGACAAGCGCTACAAATTGCTACCCGCTCGAGGCACTTGAAAAAGAAGCTCCGCGAAATCAGCCACAAATCCATTTGCTTCAAGGCAACGCGCATCTGCACGTATTTTTGATCCCCCACCAGAAGATTCCCGAAGTAGGCTGGAGCGTGCTACCCATCCGCCACATTGGCCCAATTTGTCCTGACACTATTTCCACCTGTACTGCTCGCTAGTTCAACAAGTTTAGAACAGAAAGCTCGACGACGAAAGGGACCTCAAATCCGACGTCTCATCGTATTTCTGCAAAACTTCCCCCGAGTTCTGATGTTATATCTCCCAATAGCTCAGGTGTAGCCATAGTTGTTGACCCTGATGACAGCATACCAACGATCTCAGAATATATAAAGAATAAAAAATTGATTTCAAAATTAAGGTGATGGAAGTTTCAGAACTTCCTTTACAACCTATATTTTTGTTGTTTTCCAACGACAGCAATCTTTTAAAAAGTCATTGAATCGTTCCACCTTACTATCGATCAACAAAGCGTTTAGAGACCATTGAAATGGTTTGAAGCCGCGACCTGTGTCTTCCGACCAGGAGGACCACTCGTCTCTGGCACGGCACACACTCTATTCGTTGACGGTCCACCGTTTCTAGGCGCTCATCGAAGCAGTCCGTCGGCGTGCCAACATTTACAGTGGCAATGCGAGTCTTCGACATGTTGCAGGCAGGGTCGATCCTACCGCTGGTACTTTTTGGGAATTTTTCACGACCCCCCCCTCTTCCAATCGAAAACTTCACGACCCCTCCTCCGCCATCATGGTTGCTGTTTTTATAGTATTCTATAGTATTTCGTTCTGTGTCGCTCAGCACACGCTAGTTCCACATCTTAATTCAATAAGGCTAGAGATTCATGAGGTGAGAGCGAGTACGACCCTCACACCTACAAACTCAACAAAATACGTCCCCCCCCCGTTGGTACCTGTCGCAACATAGGATTGACCCTGGTTGCAGGACATGTGGGTTAGCTTAGTTGCCCCCGATGCCATCCTTGCATCGCAACTCTTCACACTCAAAGGACTTTGCGAGTGCCTTCGCTCTCGCGGGCACATTAGGATTATTCCGAGATTCAAGTAGCGGCACTGACATTGCGATGCGGCGTGGAACTCCGTAGGCTGGCCTGTCATGGGGGCCCGTCGCCTACTCGAATTCCTCAATCGGCTCCACTTTCAAAGGAAGCAGT